GAGTAGACGAGAGAGACGAGAGAGAGAGAGAGAGAGAGAGAGAGAGANNGAGAGGAGAGAGAGAGAGAGAGAGAGAGAGAGAGAGAGAGACAGAGATACCATGTACTCAGGGCTGATGAAAGGATCATTGACAGCAACAAGCTCAATATCATCTCTTAGCAAAGCCACCCTGGCAACCAGGCGCCCAATCCTTCCAAACCCTAATTTTTTCATGGAAACTCCATATCAGATAATCCCAAATGCTTTTTCTTGGTCAATAGGCAATAGTAATACACCATGCAATTTTGAACTTAACCCAAAAAATAAAAAAGAATGCACTGAATAGATTTGGTTAAAATACATGCATCAGAGGACGGCAGATCAGAACAAATAACAGAGCAAACCAGATCACAAAAAGGAAAAAAATAGAATAGAAGTAGGTGAAAAATGAATCCAAGTGAAAAACAAACGAAAAATAGATCAAAGTGGAATGGATGAAGGCATCAAAAGAAACTAAAAGAAAAATTAGAAATAAGTGGTTTAAACTAACTGATCAAGGAGACCCTAACAGAAAACCAGATCATAGAATAAACTTCAAGAAGAAATTAATGGAAACCTTAACAACAGAAATCAAAATAGATCAATATTAGTGAGCAACATTAATCGACAAAACAATAGAAATGAGTCAAAAAAGAGAACAGCTAAAAAAACTGCTAAAACCGATATCAGAACAGTTCTGTAAGAGATGAATCATGCATATGAAAAATTAAAACAAGAAAAGAAAAAAACTTCTAGATACAGAGAATAAAATAATTAAAATCAGAGAAAAAGTTACAGAGAAAGAAGAAAAAAAAAAAAAGAGGACTTAAATATAACACAAGCTCGACAAAAATAACTTCAATATACAGAGAACAGCACGAATAAATGGTTCGAGCAAGAGAAAATTTAGAGAGAGAAACAAATAAGTTATTATGAATCAATACCATTGATGCCGATCTTGATCTTCTTGCCAGAACCTGGAAAAAAATCCATGATGACATAACGCAAAAAACAAAATTTTAAAAACTCCACAAAAATGCACAATATAATAGAGGAGAAATCATAAAAATAATCGCAATACAGTGGAACCAAATCTAGAGAGAAACACCAATCACCGATCGCCATCTAATGGAACAAAATGTAGAGTGAGAAACATCAAACGTACCCATCTAGGATAGTTTTGGATGGTTTTGGAGGAGAGAGAAATCTCAGAAGCTAGAGAGAGAGCACGAATGGAGAAATCTAGAAGAGCAATGGGCTCTTATAGCTAGGGCGTTATCAACAAGAAAAGCAGGGGAGCTCCATGTATTTGACGGATTTATCGAAACCACTCAATAGGCGGTTCGGCGGTTTTTGAAAAACCGGGATGAGAACTCGCACGCGTGCTTTCCACATGATCGGCGACATGGCGAGTCTAATGACACTAACGAAGACCGATTCATGCAAGGCAGTTTTTGTTCTGCAAAATTGTTTCATGCGGCGGGGACCGCATTTCTATACCTACGATTTTAGAGATATAAAATTGGTTCATTTAAAAAAAAAAATTGAAATTAATAGTTCAAATGTTTTTTTAATAGGATAATTATTTTCAATTTTTAAAATTTATTTATTTATTCATGCACCCATCGAAACCGTGTCCTTTCATAGGATTCGTATGTAGATATATGTCCTATTTTTGTGATCTATTATCTATTTTTTAGATGGTTTTGGGTTTCTATTCCCTTGAAAACCATTAATTATTTTTAAAAAGATTGGGTTGGAGTCTGTATTTCCGACTGACCTACGAAAAAAAGATCATGAATGTATAAAAAAATATAATTTAATAAAATAAATATGATAATTTTTGAAAAAAATGAATGGTTAATTTTAGGCGTTGTTACTAAGGTAGATGTGTGATGCTTGGGGGAATACAAATGTTATTATGCATCCCCGACACGTCAAACAAGTTTTCCATTTGTCCAAGGATGATCATTTACTGCTGAACTTTTCCATTGTTCAAAGTATTGTTCAATTACTAGTGAAACACCAAAAAAGTTAATCAAAAGAATGAGGTTTTGATGAGTCCATTGGCTCATCTTTTTAGATGAGTCCTCTTGAGATGGATTTTGGATCAAAAGATTTCAGGTTAAGAATCTGAACCACGGTCAACATGAATATAAAAAATAAAATAAATCAAAAAAATAAAAATAGTATTTTTTTTGTATGTTTTTAACAACATCTATTTTGGTTTTTGTTGGGTCACAATTTTTTGTGTGATGCCTTGAGGATGTTGCTTTGGAATTGGATCCCTGTTGCATCAAATACGTTTTTTTATTAGAAGGATGGGGTTTGTATAAGGTGGTGACTTCACTGGTAGAGAACTAAAATAAGGTTATCTATTTTGATTGGACAACCTAGATTTCACACATTTTTTAAGTCAGTATAAACGTATAGCATGTCCTTGTTAGTATTATATTTACAATGTCTAAATAAGATGGATGGTGCAGATTACTGCAACCTTACTTTTACAAGTGAGGTTGAAATCTTATATAAACGTTTTTTTTATCGAAATACTTAAAATTTGGACCAATATTTTTTCATCTAATTTAATAACTCAAAGAAAAAATGGATTAGTGTTGGGCTATTTAATTTTAATCAGCACAATGAACTATCTAAAATTAGACAAAACATGGGTAAGATGTTACATAGTTCATAGCTTAAACACATTTTTATTTTCAAAAAACAAAATCAAATTCTCTATATTTCAACATCAATTGCTAGTTTGGATGGACCACTATTCTGGGTAAGTCATATTAACTTTCCCCAGTATTTTGTTTAGCATAGCAAGGCTTTTATGAGCAACACGTTTGAAATTTTTCCGGCTAGAAAGCAAAGGAGACGGTGGCAATTTGATTAGATTCGTCAATAACACGAAAAAAAGGGAACAATACAAATAATACGATTTATTTTTGACATTAGAAGGTTACTTAAGCTGTTGAACGTGAAACTAGATATACAATTATTTTTTCAAAATCTAAAGATAAATTTTCTCGAACTCTGAATGCAGCCGGTGATCAACTCGTGTGACCATGGAACATGCCTTGGGGTGCTTTTTTCAACTCTTTTGTATCGTAATAAGTAGTCTCATCGAATATTTTCCGCGGAAATGATCTATTTTTATGTTTTCCATAACAACAAAAGGGATGAATATCACCCGAACCTACGATAATCTTATCAAGGAGTTTGAAATTCTGGGAATTTGTTTTGTTTAGCTCGAGAGAGAAAAGGAAAACCCCAAATTTTGATGAGAGGAAATTCTTATTATTTTTCTCAAAGTTTGGGCTACTTTCAAAAAGTTTAGAAAAGTTGATGTTTTATTTTATTTTTGGGACCATTACATACATATAGGTTATTACGACTCTACCAAATAGTTTCCGTTATTACCACCACGTCCATTGTTTTCATTTCAAAATGGAAATTTTAAAAAAAAGACGACTTTACTCTTTTTCGGTTGTTGAACAACTGAATTCAAAGTATTTTCGGATGTTCAACAACCGAAAATACACCAATTTTGGTTCTTGAAGAACGAAAAATTTAAAATTTTTGGTTGTTGAAGAACCAAAAATTTTAAATTTTCGATTCTTCAAGAACCGAAAAGTGTTTTCTCTCTCTTGTGGTGTATTTTCTCTACCTCTTTGAAGTCATAGTTATCCGAATAAAATCAAAGGGGAACAACTATTTTGAGCCCCTAAATTTAGGAGAAATATTCAGGATTATGAGATTAGAAGATTAGGAGAAATCTTGTCACGTATTCTCTCTACCTCTTTTGAAATTTTCGTTTTGACATGAAAAAAGGGATATGGTGGTAATAACTGAAATTATTCGGTATAGCCGTAATAACGGAAACTATAATGGATATATTTGTAATTTTCTTTTTATTTTTTATTTTTTTTGGTAGTTTAGTGGGGAAGAGGTCTCCGTACCCATTATAAGAATGGAACTCAAATGACATTGTGTGGTATCCCGCCATTTAACCATCTTGAACATGTTCTTTTATTTATTTATGGAAAATGGTTTGATAGGACTGCTGCCCTCAAAATAAGTAAAGTCTCACCTCATAACTCATCAAAAATTGCAATTCAAATATTGAAAAACCTTTGCATCGATCATCTCAACTTGAATATTAGGGTTGGGAATAAAAATTAGGATTTCAAGCTATACAAATAGTGTATATTATAAAAATTATTTAGACCGTACATTTCACCCAAAAACTAAGTGATCATAGATCTACAAGATCTGTAGTTTCAAATTTTATTGTCGGTGTTGAAATTTTATTTTAGAATCATCGTGGAGATTTCCATTGCCTAAAGTGCTTTTCGGATGTGGATTTGAGTTGAGGCTTTATTTTATTTTCATAAAACATAAGCCTTAAAGAAATTTCATACTTTAGTTGTTTATTTATTACAGGTCATCAGAGAATGAGAACATGATACTTAGCAAGTGAAGGGTAAGCCTTATGGTTGAGAGAGAGAGAGAGAGAGAGAGAGAGAGAAAGAGAGTATTTGAGACTGTTAGGTGGTTTCTATGCTTTTGGTAGGTAGCCTTCCTATGTTTTCTCGAGATTATTACAGAGATCACCTGACCTAACTCGAAAGAGAAGGCATATCACCAAACATCATATTGTAGAAAATAAGAAAAGAGGGTAGATACCATTGGTATATTCTTTTGGAAATTGCATTGAATATTGTCAGGCCCCTGATTATTTCATACTTGCACTATTTTTCTTAGCATTAACCTTCTAGGTATGAAAAACTGCGGTCCCATCTGTCTTTTGAATTCCCTTTTTTTAATGATATTGTTCCATGAAAAAGTTGAATCATTTTGTTGCCTTTTTTCGGATTCCCTGTCCGCCGAGAGAACAGATATGGTCAAAAGCTCACCACACAAAGCAATGCATTTGATAAAGTAAAACATTTGTATCAAGTTAGGGATCCGAATAATCAAATTAAAGCGCACCCCAAAAATTCACTAGATGCTGTTGTTGTGGTGTTGAAAAACTCTCAAATCGATCATCATGACCTCAAGATGTATTGAGGTGAAAAAGATAAATTTCTAACTAAAAAATAGCACATTTTGCCATACAATATCCGTGTCCTCAATTTTCAATATTTTCTAAGTGTTTATAAATTTGCTTGATCTATACTGTTTTTCAAGCATTGAATTTGATAATTAGACATGAAAATAAACTTTCAAGCTATTACAAAGATTCTTGCTACCTAAAAACAGCTTTCCACACTCTTTAGAGGTGTGCCTTGTACTCATTGTTTGAAGCCTCAACCTTATACAAACCACACCCCTTTGATAAATGTGAGAGAGAGAGAGAGAGAGAGAGAGAGAGACCATACTACACACTACACTCTACAAAGACTATTACAGAAACCAATGAGTAGTGCATATGGAGTGTGTGGTGGGCGCCTACTTCAATACGTAGGTCTCATTTTTTCAGTAAACTAGTTCAAATACT